AAATCAAAATTCAAATCTGAGTAGTCGACTATAATTCTCAGTAGTCGACTACTCTGTAGTTTTACAGAAACTTATATTTTGTTTTTTGACTTTAGTAGTCGACTACAAAGCTAATTAGTCGACTATTAAGAGATAAAAATGTAATGTATGAAATATTTTTAGACTCAATGATTAACTGAATACTCTAATGGTTAACATAATGGATTTCTATTGTTAACCAACACATTAAGCATGTGTTAATGTGTTCTAATCTCTATGTGTGTGTATGTGTGAGTGATCAAGGCTTGTACAATATTTCTAAGTAAAAAAATGTATAAAAAATTATATTGATATATAAACTCTTCATCTTCTTTACTTCATGATGTCTTGAACACATATTGCACTTGTTCATGTTGAAATCTATACTAAAATGTTAGTGCACTGTAACACACATAGTGATTCATGTTATGAATAAATTGTTATCATCAAAATTATATCATGGAAACATGATATCCAATATTCTCCCCCTTTTTGATGATGACAAACAATTTATGCATATGTAAGTATATTCTAAAAGAATTAGAACATTTGGAAACAAATATACTTACTCCCCCTGCATAAATGCATATTAGAGTCTATAATATTAACATGAGTCTATAACATTTAACTTACTCCCCCTGCATAAATGCATATTAGAGTCTATAATATTAACATGAGTCTATAACATTTATACCAATAATACTACAGTAATTTGTTGTAGCATGAATAGTGAATCTTGGATCTTCTTGTTTGTTCTACAGTAACAAATACTGCAGTAATTACTGTAGCATTACTGTAGTATGAATAGTGAATCTTGAATGCTCCCATTATTATAGAGGAATATATATATATATAGAGAGAGAGAGAGAGAGAGAGAAAAAGAGAGAGGCATACGCACATGCACACACCCTTATTTAAACTAGGTTTTATGCACATGCAATGCACATGGTCAAATATCATGATTAAATATATTTGGTTTATTTCCTTACTAAAACTTGTTCATTTGTTCCACTCTGATGGTTTTTCCTTAGTTTATATCTCTAAACTTTAGCATTGCGATTATTTATTTTCTTTAATATTCATTTAAATGAACTACACCCAATTTAAATTTTTATATTGATAATTAAATTACCAAAAAATAAATATAATCTGAAATCAATTTGAATTATCATGTCATTGAGACCAACATGAAACCAAGCTTGACCTGAGAAAATATAGCATTGTAAAAGAAAAAAACACTTTAAAAAATAGCATTCTAAAAGGAAAATGAATAATTAAAGCTTATAAGACAAGATGATTGGTTAAAAGTGGGCTAAATGACACAAAAGATAATATGGAGTTTGTTCCTAATCATTGATAGACTTTAAAAAATTTATAAAATAAAGATTAATACTAAATCTAATATACTTTTATATAATGAAAACATCCACATAAACATATAAAAGTACTAAAAAAGTTTATGAAAATCTCTTCCAAAAATTCCTAATTTACTCCAAAAAAACCTATTCTATAAAATATTTAGAAAATAATGCCTTTCATTTCTTCTGTTTTATTTTTTATTGAGACGTTATCAATCCTTCTTCACCTTTATCTTTTTTGATAAAATTAGATTACTTTTATATGCCAAAAAAGGATAGTAAAACCTTAAAATAAAAGTTAAATTTACATATCTTAATGAGAGAATATCAAACAACTACTCTTTTTTTGCTATGCTTTAAAATTTTAATCGCTTTTTCGTGATTTTGAATTTTTAGGGTGTGTTTTACAAATTTTGAAACTTTGAGAGTGTTTTTAAAAAATTTAAATTTTAAGTTGAGTGTTTGTAATTTTCATGTTTCATGTGTTGGTAGTAAGTTTTTTAATGTCAGAATATTTCTTGCAACTCTGAATTTTGAGGGTATTTTTTGCAATTATTGAAACTTTAGATTGTTTGTTGCAAAATTTAAAATTTTAGCGGTTTGTTGATAATTTTGAGATTTGATATGTATTGGTTATAAGTTATTAAATTTTAGGATTTTGTGCGTTTTTTACTTTTCGAAGGAGTTTTTCGGAATTTTTATAACTTTGAGGTTATTTTTTATAAATTTTAGTTTTTTAGTGTCTGATAGTAATTCATTGAATTCATCTTTGTTGTTCACAAGTTTTGAAATTTCAGAATTTCATAGTGTTTTATTATTATTTAAACTTTTAAGGGTGTTTTTATAGTTTTTAAAATATTGAGTGTTTCATGTTTGTTGTTTTAAGTTTTATAACGTCTGGATGTTTTGTGTAATTTTATACTTTTAAGAGTGTTTTGTGCAATTTTTGAAACTTTTTGGGGTTTTTTTGCAATCTTCATATATTATAGCTCATTTAAATAAAATATTCAAATAGGCAAAGATAATATTGACCATAGAAAGATTTTCTCGAACTCGTACTTTTAAAGTGAGTACATATATGATTAATGGTTGAGATATAATAGTAATTTAAATGGACATATTAGATGATATAACACGCGTTGAAATATTTTAAGGAGGAAGAATATGAGGTGGCATACTCTGGTGAGTTTTTAATATTTTTAGTTTTTCTTTAATCTATTCCCTAGTAAAAGATTGAACCATAAGTAGGTACATCCACCCATTTGTTTTATTCCCTTCGCTAAAAGCTAAGAGATTGTATGTCTACATAAAGTTTTAAATGATCCCATGGAAAATTCTAAATTTGGAGTCAAGAATTTTATCGTGGCCAACCAAAATCTTCAACCCAGTTTTAATTCTGATCTCGATGGAATTATGCTTTATTAGAAGTCCTATACTCTCTCATGAATTATATCGAGAAAGTGATGCCCATATGAAATCTTATGCTCAAGTTTCTATCCGACCAAAAGAAAACACGGAAATTGAAAATTTTTGTAATTCTGAAGAATCCTAATTACTCCGTATTAAAAAAAAAAAAATCCAAAATTAACAGCTAGATTGTCCGTGAAAGGCTGAAGGCTTGGCTGAAACTCAGTTAGCTTTCAAGACATCGTATCAACGTATCAAGTTTTTATTTTTATTTTCAATATATTAAATTTCGTCTTATCTCGTGGATTTTTCTTTACAAAAAACCAGCACGGCTTAAAAAAAAAAATCAGCAATCAGCAGACCATATGCGACCTCAATCATTTTCTACGCGTGGGCTATAAATGCTTTACAATATTTAACTATTTTTTAAAGATGCATTAATTCCCTTGCTTCTTTATTGTGGAAGCCTTATTAGCTTGTGAAGAACGTGATTCTTAGTGGGGTGATGTGTAAGAATGTAGCACGTGACAAAAGACTTATTGTTCATGTGTGTATCTGATGTTTTTTTCAGGAATTATTTATGTACCTATATCAACATGATAGTCACGTTAATGGGATTAAACAACCTTTTAAACTCTCATTGTCTTTGGTTACGAACCTTGCTTAGAAGCAATGGTGTACTTTATACTCTATTTTTGACATGTTTAGATGCATATGCTTACTGAGATTTGAATGTAAATGTTTTTTTTTTCTAATGCCATCTCAAAGACTTTTTTTACTATATCAAAACACTTCGAAGTTGTGATGAAACCATCTTAATATCTTATCATCTGAGAATATTTGAGGTGAGATTTTTTAGTATTAAAGTGCAAATAACCCTACATCTCTCTCAAACTCTTAATCCCCATAAAACTAGACCTAAAACTAGAGCGTCTCTCCTTAGTTTTTGTATTTTATTCAAGCTTAATTGCACTTAAATGCCCTATATTGCACTTATGTACCTTCACTTGCTTTTTTTTTCCAGAACTTATATACCATTAAAGTATTTAAAATTTTAGTTACACACCGTCACTTGTTTTTGATAGCACTTACATACCGTAAAGTTTTTAAAACTTACACTTCAATATTCTAAAGATTTTAAAATAGCACTTAGATGCCTGAAATTTTTTAAAACTTACACTCAATTAACCTCAAGTTTGCAGGATTGAGGGTATTTAAGTGCAAGGTTTAAGAACTTTAGGGTATTTAAGTGCAAGATCTAAAATTTTTAGGGTATGTAAGTGCTGTCAAAACAAGTAATAAGGATATATAAGTGCAAAATTTTAAACTTTAAGCCCAATTTGTCAAAAGAGTTAAAAGGTGGAAGGATTAAGGACAAGTGTTAATATGGTTAGCTCATTTGATAATCTGATGGATTAAAACTTTTAATCTGTTAGGTTTGTTTATTTTAATCATTTTGATTATTTTTTGTGTTTGGGAATAAAAAGGATTATGATCACTTGCTCTATAAACCCCTCGTTTTTATGGGATTAACTCATTTTAACCCCTCTAAAGGGGTTTGTAAACCCTTTGCACTATTTTCTGTGTTCGTCAAAATATGAGAGGGGTTAACGCAGTTTACACCCTATACAATTTTTTTTGTATTTGGCAGTCTAAGAAAGGGTTAACTCTTCTTAACTTCTCACAACCATTTGCCAATCTTGGCCTTATGGTACATGAGTGTCGTCAAAAAAACAAGTGAGGGTATATAAGTTAAAGTTTAAAAATTTGATGGTATGCAAGTGCAATTAAGCTATAAGGGCTCAAGGTTTTCAATTTCACGGGGATGTTCCAATGAAAAGTAAGGCCCAGCACTCGTATGCATCTTTCTATTTCATGGCATAGCTTCAACCCCTTCCAGTTTGGGCCTTAGCCCACCAGCTGATAGTCCCACAAATAGTCCTGCTATATATCTTCATCAACGAGCGGGAAAAAAACATAAAAAAAGAAGGGGTGTTTTTGTCTAAAACCTCCGCATCTCAAAATGACAAAACCCTAAACCCCCAAAACCTCTCCAAATCCAAATCGGAGCTCCATGGAATCCATCAAGCGCCCACTCGATCGCACCGCGGAAATCTCCACCGCCAAACGCCGCCCCTCGTGGCGACATCGTCTTCCGCCTCCTCTGCCCCACCGACAAAACCGGCGGCGTGATTGGCAAGAGCGGATCAATTATCTCCAAGATCCGCGATGAAACCCGATCCAAGATCCGCATCGATGACCCCGTGCCCGGATCCGACGACCGAGTCATCGTCATCACCGCTGACTCGAGCTCGAGGGATTATGGTGACGTGTCATCGGCTCAGATGGCGTTGGTCAGGGTTTTTGAGAGGATCGAAGAGCTTGAGGAGGGGAGGGAGGCGAGCTGTAGATTGTTGGTGAGTGGGACCCAGGTCGGGTGTGTGTTGGGGAAAGGAGGGAAGATTGTGGAGCGGATAAGAGGGGAAAGTGGAGCTCAGATTAGGGTTTTGGGGAAGGAGCAGTTGCCGGTGTGCGCGGCGGCTGGGGATGAGCTGATTTATGTAAGAAAGTTTTGATCTTTTGACCTAATTTTGAGAATCCAAACTAAACTAATTGTTTGATGCATTTTTTCATGTCTATAAACTTAGGGTTTTTTATGAAGAAATTTTCATTTTAAACCCAATCCAATTTTTATTTTTAAAAACCGACCCACTCCTGTTTTAATTACCAAAATCGACCCATTTCGTGGCCACGTCAGCAACCCCGACCATTTGATTTTATTCTCTCCAGCCACACGTGTGAGTCTCTCCATCCAAATTCAATAGAAGCTGAACGCGTGAGCCCGCAAATTAGGCCCTGAGACTAATTTAGTGTTCAAAATCGTCTGCGGTCTTGTCATCTACAAGGTTTGCCGACTACGACGGCGACGCCGACGCCGACGACTTCCCAGTTCTTGAATTTTAATTGGAGGTGAATTGGATTTTGATGGAGGATTATTGTTTTTTTTATATGAAGGGAGGTGACAAAGCAATTGATAATTCTGGAGATGAATGCGATCCATAATTTAGGAACAGGATGAAAGGGGACGCAAAGCAATTAGCGTCAATCATCAAATGAAATGGTCGGGTTTGGGAACCCCGACCATTTCGAAAAAAGCTGTGCTAAATATGTCGGGGTTGCGAACCCCGACTAATTTAGCTTTTACATTTGCTAAATAGTCGGGGTTGGAAACCCCTACTATTTAGCAAGCTGTTTTAAAAAAAATCAACCCGTTTCGTGGCCACGTTGCTGACGTGGCCACGGAATGGGCGATTTTGGTAATTAAAACGGGAGTGGGTCGGTTTTCAAAAATAAAAATTAGATTGGGTTTAAAATGAAAATTTCTTCTTTTTTTTTTATTGTAAGCCAATTGTTTTATTCTGATTTTCCTTATTCGCACACACTTCCAAAATCATTCACCCCCGAGAACTTAAAGAACAGTAAAGTGCTACCGTTCGATCTAAACTGCTATAATAAAGTGGTTAAGTACGGAATCTGAGTTTGAAAAATCAGGTTTTATATTGTGGGTATGAATGATTTTTGAGCTGGGCGGGTTTGAAAATAATCCAGGGTAACAGAATGAGTTTAAAATTAAAAAAATCCAATAAATTATTGTTACGCTGTTTGACAACTTTTGACTAGTATTTTCAGAACTTAGGGTTTAGAATGGTGGCATTTTAGGAACTGTTGTATATGGTAGAAGGGGGGAACAAACAACTTGATTTATGATTGAAGTTGTTACCTTTGTAATGAGGGTTTGATTTTGGTTTGGTTTGATTTTATGTTCTCTTTTTTTGCTTTTAGTCAATTTTTTTTTGTTTATGGATATTTTTAATCGTCTTGTTACTATTTTAGTGAATATCTCTTAAGGTTGTTTATGATTTAAAGTTTAGTTAGGATTCGTTTTAAGGAAGTTGTGGTTCTATTCCTGATTCAATATGCTTCTTGTTGATTTCTTTCCATGAAAGTCATTATATTGGAGTTTCCATTTTTGCAATTTTAGTCCATTCCATGTTGTTAATGATTGTGTCCTTGTATGGTTATTGTCCATGTTTCCATAACAGCTTACTGTTTATGACAAATGAGATAGTAACCATGTGCAATGCATGTGCGATGTTGGAGTTGGGGAAAGTGAGTTGATACATGAGGAAGCTTTTGTCTTACATGATCTTTTAATTTATGAAACAAACATTCATGATATTTGTTTAAGTGGGCAATTGTCTTTTGATGCATTTCATTTTCTGTGGTAGCGTTAGTTATTCTCTAGTGTTTATTTCTGTAATTAATGGCCCCATTCTCAAATTGCCAATTGTGGCTTTCAAAAACATAACGTGCTTTCAACTCCTGGCAGATCACGGGGAGTTTATCAGCTGTAAGGAGAGCACTTTTATCTGTTTCTAGTTGTCTACAAGGCAACCCAAGGACAGAACCAACCAACTTTAGTACGATGAGATCATTCGGATCAACTCCTGATGGATCTGGTGCACCTGCACCTGTGGACCCGTATGCTCATCGGAGTTATGTGCCCAGTCATCATGCCCCAGATTATCATTCCAGGACCTATACGTCAAATCCAGGAATAGATGTTACTACACATTCCCTCAGAAAAGTTCATGAAGAGGATGTTATCTTCAGAATGTTATGCTCCAAAGATAGAGTTGGAAGTATTATCGGGAAGGCTGGTATCATCGTTCGAAACTTGCAAAATGAAACTGGTGCTTCAATTAGGGTTGTAGATGCGGTCAGCGATTCAGATGAAAGAATTATTGTGATATCTGCTCACGAGGTGCGTGCATCACTCCAAATCCTGTAGGCTAACCATAACTTTTTTAGTTTTATTTGAGATCCTGTAGTTCTTATGATGTTGCTGTTTTTGAGTGGTGCAGAATTCTGAAATGAAAGGTTCAATTGCACAAGATGCTGTTCTTCGCGTGCATTCTAGACTTATAGAAGGAGTTGATAAAGGATCTTTGGTACCTGCAAGGCTTCTTGTACCTGCACAACATATAGGTTGTTTGTTAGGTAAAGGTGGGTCCATCATTGCTGAAATGAGAAGGTCTACCGGAGCCAACATCCGAATTTTTTCGAAGGAGCAGGTTCCAAACTGTGCTCAGCCAAATGATGAAGTTGTTCAGGTCTGATGCTTTGTTGTCTCTTTGCGATGTTTAAGAGCTTTGTTCAGTGTATTAGTATCTGCTAGAAGTATCATTACCAAGAATTGCAAGCAAGCTTCTTTTAGGAGTTTTGCAGTCCCAGATTCAAACTGAATGGCTTCACACCATCATGCTTGTCTTCAAAGGCAAAGTTCTGCAATTTTTAAGTTATTAACCCTGTTCCTTTTTTACAGTTAGCAAGGACATTCCTCTGACAGTTGCATTTAGCATAAAACCCTGTACACCCTCCCCATGAAATTAAAATGAATGATAGTTTGGATATAGATATACACTTTTTTAAAAGGTTATTATACATAATTTTTATATCATCACATATTTCTCCTGCATATATATCCCCCCCCCCCCCAAAAAAAACAAAAAAAAAAAAAAAAAATTCCCCCCCCCCCCCCCCCCAAAAAAAAACAAAAAAAAAAAACAAAAACAAAAAAACAAAACAAAACAAAACATGCCTTTGTAATTACTGAAGCTGGAGCCATATGAAAACCATAAATTCATATAACCTCATTGTGTTTTCTGTTCATCGCAGTTATTCACAAATTTGACATGCTGTTATAAGCTTACATTATGGCCAACGCAGTATTGGCCAGCATTCTCTGACTACTTTAATTTCTGAAACCTGTACAAGTATCTCAAGAGGAGCGGAGTAACCATAGTAGTCAAAACATTACTGCGAATATAAACTCTCCTGAAAGTTAGAAACTAAAATAAAAACGAAAAGAAATGAAGACACAGATTCAAAATGAATAACTACTATTCTGAAAAAAGATGAATCTCAGTTCACTTGCGAGCAAGATATGCAGAACAGGAAACCTAACCCCTCTGCCATTAAGGAAGGGGAGATGGAAGAGATTATATATACCAATAGTACATATGTTTGTCCTCAGAATTGTCGGGGTGAATAGCATATTCCCCTACATGACTATTTTGGGTGCCTAATTGGATAAGAATAAAATGTGTAATGTCATCTATTGATATTTACCACCATTAGTTATTTCATACCTTGTGAATGCAGGCTTCTTAGATACTTTACACAAAAAGATATTATGCACTTACGTTGAAAAGAGTGATACTTCGGCAATATGCACATGCATCTGTAGTTGGTACATGTACTAATGAGCCTTATATGTATGTATACATTTATTTCTTCAGGTGATTGGTACAGTGCACTCTGTTCAAGATGCCTTATTCCATATAACGAGCAGGATCCGGGAGACTATCTTCCCCCAGAAACTATATGCAAGTGCTGGCATGACGCATTACTCTGATATCCCTCCTCTACATAGATCAAGAAACGAGCAAACCGTCGGGCTTTCTCATGGTCTTGATACCATTGATCGGCACCCTCCTCTTCCTCATGCTGTAGATCATCTAGCAGTAGATCGAGTTCCCTTCTCATACAGCAGTGAAACTACTGGACTTCGGCATTTTGATCATTCTCCTTCACCAAGATCTTGGGGTCGGCAGGCAAGATTTGTATGCTCAGGAGAAAATTATATTTCATAATTATTTTTTGTTCGATATACTGACACTGGGCAATAACCATTAGCAATCTTCTTTTGTGAGTTAGAACTATAGTGCTTATATTCCACACATCTCAGAGTGGCATTAGCACCTTGTGTCACTTAGTATGTGATATCTTACCCAATATTAGTGTCACCTATGGCTTAGTGATTGGGTGTCCAATCATGTAGCTTTGTTGAGTTGAGATCTATACTAATATACAATATGCATCCATTTTCATGAGAAATAAATGTTACACTAGTGTTTATTTAATTCAGGAAAATCTTGGGAGAATTGAGTTTACTGGTTAGTTAAGTCATGATTTAATTTGATATTGCCTTGTAGTACATGGGTGGACTAATATTTTTTTTTTGTTCCAAGGGCTTGATAATAACTGCTTTTTAGGAGAAACAACAACAATCAAACCCTTAACCCTAAAAATTTCGGGTCGAATGCATGAATCCTACTCTTGCACACAATTTTGTTGACGGCTATCTCCTTGATTAAGTTAATCATTGTTATTCTTAGTGACTTCTAACCGAAATTACTACTTAAGGAGATGATCCAAAACGACCTTGAAGGAATATAGATATTGTTGCACATTTGACTACTTTAAAGATGTGCTCCATGATAAAGCTGAAGGATGAATGACTTTTGTTTGTGGTGTAAGTTCTGGCTGTTTTTACTTAACCTTTTAACTGATTTCATCATCCCTTCTCTTACATCTATATTTTCAATTGTCTAAACCTCTAAACTTTAATTATTTCTCATATGCTAGATGTTCTTGAAACCTAAATATTCCTATCCGTTTTGTGTTGATAGCTGTTCATGGCCTAATGGTTGTTAGTTCATACTTTTGAACTGTGTTTTGGACATATATTGCCATATTTTGTTACTTGATAGTTTATAATGATAACTCCACTGCATTATCACGGAGTTCAAACTCAAATACCTATATGCCTACAGATATTTGAATTCAGGGGCTTTAGATTTTGCAGATCACAAGCAGTGGAAACCCCAGAGGTATCCCTGATACTGAAACAGGCTTTGATTTTAGGAGTGGTTTGACTGGAAGGTATCCTCTATTTCTTGACTTCTATATTCTCTTTTAAAGGTTCACTCGCTTATGATTGGTGCTGTCAACAGTGTACCTCATACACCCGTTGTGACAAACACATCTATTGAAGTCATTGTTCCTCAACATTTGCTGGCATTTGTTCATGGTGAGAATGACAGTAACCTGATTTTGATCAGAGAGGTATTGTTGGTTCAATCTGTTTAGGCACTGACCTCACCCGTTGTGACAAACACATCTATTGAAGTCATTGTTCCTCAACATTTGCTGGCATTTGTTCATGGTGAGAATGACAGTAACCTGATTTTGATCAGAGAGGTATTGTTGGTTCAATCTGTTTAGGCACTGACCTCAAAAGACAAATCAAAGTTCATATGACTCATCTAGTCAATCTTTTAAAAGAGAATGATGAGCAATTTCTTAAACAGAATCATCAGCTGAAAGAAAATTTTATAGATCTTTCGTATGGGATTAATTATCTCTATCCTTATTCCAATAAAATTACATTAACATCTCATGAGATGTTTCAAATCCTCGGGATACCAGAATACATTCAGCAAAATATTTGCATGGAACGTCTTAACAGAGAGCAACTATGGTCCAAACTAAACATTTTTCCTCAAGATATTCAAGACATTGTTAAGGCAAAAGTTGAAAATGACAATATTGTCTCCCTTTTAAAAGCTCACAAGGAACATACGATTCCCATAATAGGTGGCTCTCCCAGATTCACGATAAATATTCATGATATTCCCCACTACGTCCCGCATATTGATACTAGACTGGTCTACGAGTTACAAGTTTCAAGGGAACCTCCATTTTTCTACAATCCGATGAGACTTAAAGGCCTATCAGCCATTATCAATCTCAAAAGGAGGTGTATTATCAAAGTTTTCAATAACATTAATACTTAGTCTTGATGGATTAGAATCATCATAGATGGCAGTTGGCTCCATGTCATATTTAATTCCTATTAGTTTTTTTTTGTGTTTAAAGAAGTCTCTTTCCCGAGTTGGAATTGAAGAAACTAAGGCACGTCGTTCGTCGTTAGTTTCAAGAGTAATTTTTCTAAACGAGGAAAAGTTAACATCAACATCACCATTAGGATACTCAATAATTCTTTAAAGATTAGAATTTTCAGGAGGTAAGAGTTCAATGACTTGACTTAATTTCCAAACTGAAGGAAGTTGAATTTCATTCCATTTTAAAGTCCATGGTACAACTAAGTTATTTTTAGCGTGGGTAAGAAATAAAGTAGTTGTTCCTTTCTCAGGGTTAACCTTAGCTAAAGTGTGAGCGTATTCATGGCTTTATAGCAGATTCTATAGGTTAAAGCTATATTCTCAGAATTAGTATCCATATTAAATCCAAAGGTTTGAAGATTTAAAGTTAACACTTTGAGGATGCCAGGGTCTGATAGAGAAACTGAGAAGTTTGGAAAAGCATTAAAGAATATAGGACCATTGCTCAGACTTGACTCAATTAGACCAATTAAAGAGTCAATGAAAACAGAGAATCTTCCGTCTTGTAAGCAAACAAGAACAGATGTGTTGATGCTATTTCTAGTAATGGGTCTAATAGATACTTGAACCAGACTAAGATGAAGGAATTTAAGAGTAGGATCTTCAGTAATTTTTCGGATATCTTTATCACTGAGTAATTGTAATTTCTCTATGTGAGAAGTTATAGTTTTTTGTTTTTTCAATAGTTTTAACATGTTATGATGTTTTTAATTTAAAACCTTCCTTACAATAGATATCATTAGTACTAACTTTAGGCATTTTCCAATTTTGAATGCTTTGATCAATATTTTCGTAATCTAAGGATTCTGAGTTTTTAACTGACATAGTTCTTATATAGGCATTCTTCTTATCAGGAAAGAGATAGCTTAGACACTTAGGCATCTTAAGAAAGACTAAAAGACTTAACATGTCAACAGCAAGGGATGAACACGGACAGAAAAGCCCTAGACGCACACAAAGCTTAGTGGGCGAAAACCGTGTGAACTGCGACAACTAGTTAAGAGAATAAAGACTTAAAGAAGATAGAAAAATAAACAAGCTAGATATTAAGCAAAAGTAGAAACTCTAAGAAGTTCGCAGTGTCCCCACCAGTCAACAACATTGGATGAACACAGAACAAAGCTGTGTAAGTTGCGTATATATATATATATATATAAATAAGAGAATAAAGACTTAAAGAAGATAGAAAAATAAACAAGCTAGATATTAAGCAAAAGTAGAAACTCTAAGAAGTTCGCAGTGTCCCCACCAGTCAACAACATTGGATGAACACAGAACAAAGCTGTGTAAGTTGCGACGAAGGTAAGAAAAAGAGAACAATGACAGAGAACTAGAAAATGCTAGAGATCCTAGATCATACTAGAAAATATAGAGAATTAAAATTCAATTCAAAGAAAGCAGTAAAGCAAGAGTAGTGCTTAAGATTAAAGCTATTGTAAAGTAAAGAGGCTAAACAATAAAAGGCTTAGAATTAAAGCTCTAAAGAAGGTGCTTCAAAATTAAAGCTATCAATCATATAATATTTGTAGTAGTTTTTTACTACAAATATCTACAAGTTATTTCTCACAGTGTGGATATACACCACTAGCAATATCTTTTTCTGTATTACCTTGTTGTCTACATGCATTGGCATATATAAGCATTTTTTGTAACAGATGTATTATTTGATATTCAGTATAACCATCAAGATTCCATTCAACAAGGGAATTACCATCGAAACTTATTTTTTGGTTATTAAATTCTTCAAATTACATATCGGCAGGAGTGGGTCTCCTATAGTAATTCTTTGTATTATTGAAGGAATATGGAGAACAGAGGTGTTGATGCCATTTCTAGTAAGGGGTCTAATAGACACTTGAACAAGACCAAGATGAAGGAATTTAAGAATAGGGTCTTTAGTGATTCTTTGGATATCTTTATCACTAAGTAATTGTAATTTCTCTGTGTGAGAGGTTACAATTTTTGTTTTTTTCAATGGTTTTAACGTGATATGATGTTTTTAGTTTAAAACCTTCTTTACAATAGATATCATTAGTACTAACTTTAGGTATTTTCCAATTTTGAATGCTTTGATCAATATTTTCATAATCTAAGGATTCTGAGTTTTTAACCGACATAGTTCTTACATAGGTAAGAAGTCTATAAAAGGAGAAGAAGTTGATGGGTTGAGGGGAGGCGTTTTGGAGAGTGAAGTCTGATCCTTTCTAGAGAAATCCCTTCGTTTTTAAGTTTTCAGTTTCCAGTTTTTAGTCTAAGTCTGAGGGAGGTTTGTTTTTAAGTTTTCTTTTGAGTGTTTGTAAGATAAATGTGTGCTCTACTACTACTACGGTTCATCACCGTACGTCTGGTTTGTAAGTGTTTAAGTTTTCCTTCAAGTTTGTAAGCGTCTTATGTAAATATTACCACTTTAGTTTGCTTCCGTTTTTTGCTGTTACTATTCATTACTGTTCACACTGTTACTGTTCATTTTTACTATTCGTTATAATATTTTTTTCTTTAATTTTTGATATACATGTGAACGGAGGAGAGGATATAGGTATTGTGTAAAAGTTAGTTGTTTTTAAACTTAGAAAAAGATAATGATTGATCGACTTAGTGTTTAAGTCGTTGATATTTAATCAGTAATTATCATATATTAATAGTATATGAATTTTTTCATAAGTTAATGACATGTCACATGTCATCCCATCTATGTGTTACCTCCTCGATCAAGTCGCTATCGATTGATATGTCATTCGAAGAAGGGGGTTCTTCTTCTTGACCAAAGACATGCTCTTGATATTGTTTTGCTCCCATAAAAACGTCATAGGCTTCTCTGGTTTCTGGTCCAGTAGGATGATTAGTCATCCATTTATCAATGACTGCCTAATGTCGGTGCATATAATTCGAAGTCCGTCAGTCATAAAGTAGGAATAATCCTCGAATAAAAACTCAAGTTTCTTGTAGAACCAGATGGTACTTTGAAAACGATCCAAGCCTATATCATAGCATTCTTCTCTGAAACCTGAACCCCTAGGATGAAGTCCAGAGATTGTAGTAATTTCCCATATTTGTAGGCTCGGAAAATAGTCAGGACCGTTAGGGGTGGGCAAAAACCGAAACAAACCGGTTCAACCGAAAAAACCGCCCGAAAAAACGGATCGGTTAACCGAACCGAATTAAATGGATGAGAAGAAGTCTCTAAACCGCCCGAACCGAATTAAACCGGTTTGGATCTGGTTTGAACCCCTGAACCGCCCAAAAAAAACCGAACCGAATTCTTAAACAAAAAGTAACTGCGAGCCTTGGGTGTGAAGAAAATTTATGGCTGAATGTTTAGCATTTAAGAATTGTGGGGTGGAGTTTATACTAACATATATTTGAGTACGCTGATATAGTTAAGTGAGATTTCCGTAAATCAATACAAGATGTTGAGGTTGAAGGATAAATTTAGTGTTTTGGTCAAATTTCAGTGATAACATGAATACAACTTGCTGGTGCTGGATATCAAATTAACCTATAGTATAGGCTGTCAAGGATATAAGATAATTCTTGATGAGAAAAAGGCAGCTAAAAATTAACGAAAATCATCAAAAGGTGTGTGTGCCTGCCAAACATTGTTCTTTCTCTAAAAAAGGCTACATAATTACATGGTCCTCCTAGTGTATTAAGCTAGTTATATTCAGATCATACAATTTGATTAAGTGGCTTAGTACAGTTTTGATTGTTTCTTTTCAGTTTTGATTGCTTCTTTTCAGTTTTGGATATAACTAAAACTTACCCAGATTTTTGTGAAATGGAGTTAATTCGGTTCAAAACCGAAACCGAACCGAACCGAACCGAATTTCGGTTGGGCCGAATATTCGGATGAATGGGAAAAAATCTGGATCTGGATGAGAGTTTTGAGAATCCGAAAAATTCGGATTGGATGCGGATTGGGCTTAAAACCGAACCGAACCGAATACGCCCAGCCCTAAGGACCGTTTCGTTCATGTAGGGTAGCTGTGATGTTAAAGTGAAGATGTGCCAGAGTTATTGGAGACAAGAAAATATTTTGTTCATCCCGTGTTGTTGACTGGTGGGGACACTGCGAACTTCTTAGAGTTTCTATTTTTGCTTAATATTTAACTTGTTTACTTTTCTATCTTCTTTAAGTCTTTATTCTCTTAACTAGTTGTCGCAGTTCACACGGTTTTCGCCCGCTAAGCTTTGTGTGCGTCTAGGGTTTTTCTGTCCGTGTTCATTCCTTGCTGTTGACAGGTTAAGTTTTAGAGTCTTTCTTAAGATGTCTAAGTTTCTAAGCTATCGCTCTCCTGACAAAAAGAATACCTATGTAAGAACTATGTCGGTTAAAAACTCAGAATCCTTAGATTATAAAAATATTGATCAAAGCATTCAAAATTGAAAAATGCCTAAAGTTAGTACTAATGATATCTTTTAAGAGTAGGATCTTCAGTGATTCTTTGGATATCTTTATCACTAAGTAATTGTAATTTCTCTGTGTGAGAGGTTACAGTTTTTGTTTTTTCAATGGTTTTAACGTGATATGATGTTTTTAGTTTAAAACCTTCTTTACAATAGATATCATTAGTACTAACTTTAGGCATTTTTCAATTTTGAATGCTTTGATCAATATTTTCATAATCTAAGGATTCTGAGTTTTTAACCGACATAGTTCTTACACATGTATTCTTTTTGTCAGGAGAGAGATAGCTTAGAAACTTAGACATCTTAAGAAAGACTCTAAAACTTAACCTGTCAACAGCAAGAGATGAACACGGATAGAAAAGCCCTAGACGCACTTGTTTTTGAAAACTTCACATCACAGAGCTACTAAGGCAGGCATTGATAAATGGATGACTAATCCTTCTATTGGGTCAGAAACCAGAGAAGCCTATGACGTTTTTATGGGAGCAAAACAATATCAAGAACATGTCTTTGGTCAAGAAGAACCCCCTTCTTCGAATGACATATCAATCGATAGCGAGTTGGTCGAGGAGGTAACACATAGATGGGATGACATGTGACATGTCATTAACTTATGTAAAAATTTATATACCATTAATATATGGTAATTACTGATTAAATATCAACGACTTAAACACTAAGTCGATCAATTATTATCTTTTCCTAAGTTTAAAAATAACTAACTTTTACATAAATTTCATTCACAGCTAAAAGAAGCAAACTGCAGATGAAATAACAGCCTATATGTCTACACCCAGTCTGCTTTGGATGCTTAAAGATGAAGCAATTTTTGTCAAAAAAGGCTAGGTTACTCTACATCTTTTAGGTTTTGACAAAATTAAAGTCGGTGGGACCCTCAAGCTTTGATGGATATGAAAGGAATCTTTTGTATAGTTCCTAAAGAAGTCTATAAAAGGAGAAGAAGTTGATGGGTTAAGGGGAGGCGTTTTGGAGAGTGCAGTCTGATCCTCTCTAGAGAAATCCCTCCGTTTTTAAGTTTTTAGTTTCTAGTTTTTAGTCAAGTCTGAGGGAGGTTTGTTTTTAAGTTTTCTTTTGAGTGTTTGTAAGATAAATGTGTGCTCTACTACTACTACTACGGTTCATCACCGTACGTCTGGTTTGTAAGTGTTTTAAGTTTTCCTTCAAGTTTGTAAGCGTCTTATGTAAATACTACTAATTTAGTTTGCTTCCGTTTTTCGTTGTTATTGTTCATTACTGTTGCTGTGTAAGTTGCGACGAAGGCAAGAAAAAGAGAACAATGACAGAGAACTAGAAGATGCTAGAGATCCTAGATCATACTAGAAAATTTAGAGAATTAAAATTCAATTCAAAGAAAACAGTAAAGCAAGAGTAGTGCTTAAGATTAAAGCTATTGTAAAGTAAAGAGGCTAAACAATAAATGGCTTAGAATTAAAGCTCTAAAGAAGGTGCTTCAAAATTAAAGATATCAATCATACAATATCTGTAGTAGTTTTTTACTACAAATATCTACAAGTTTCTCACAGTGTGGATATACACCGGCTGACTTCATTCACATGTATATCAAAATTTAAAGAAGAAAATGCTGTAATGAATAGAAAAATGAACAGTAACGATGTGAACAGTAATGAACAGTAACATCGAAAACGGAAGCAAACTAAAGTAGTAGTATTTATATAAAACGCTTACAAACTTGAAGGAAAACTTAAACACTTACAAACCAGACGTGCGATGATGAATCGTAGTAGTAATAGTAGAGCACACCTTTATCTTACAAACACTCAAAAGAAAACTTAAAAACAAACCTCCCTCAGACTTAGAATAAAAACTGGAAACTGAAAACTTAAAAACGGAGGGATTTCTCTAGAGAGGATCAGACTTCACTCTCTAAAACGCCTCCCTCAACCCATCAACTTCTTCTCCTTTTATAGACTTCTTTAGGAACTATGCAAAAGATTCCTTTCATATCCATCAAAGCTTGAGGGTCCCACCGACTTCAATTTTGTCAAAACCTAAGAGATGTAGAGTAGCCTAGCCTTTTTAACAAAAATTGCTTCATCTTTAAGCATCCAAAGCAGACTGGGTGTAGACATATAGGCTGTTATTTCATCTGCAGTTTGCTTCTTTTAGTTGTGAATGAAATTTATGTAAAAGTTAGTTATTTTTAAACTTAGGAAAAGATAATGATTGATCGACTTAGTGTTTAAGTCGTTGATATTTAATCAGTAATTATCATATATTAATGGTATATGAATTTTTCCATAAGATAATGGCATGTCACATGTCGTCCTATTTATGTGTTACCTCCTCGACCAAGTCGCTATCGATTGATATGTCATTCGAATAAGAGGGTTCTTCTTCTTGAGAACTTATGTCAACTTAGTGGATAGAGATAGTCATCCATAAACTTTTTTTTGACGGTTGATATTAACATTGGATCCCGTGAGGTAGATATGAAGAATCTTTTAAGATTTGATGGCATTTATTTGATGACACAAACATCTTGAGACAAGAATGGGAGTGGATAAAAGTGTTGGGTGGCAGCTCGTATCGCACCTTAAGGTGAGATATTGAGTTTCTCTCTCTCTCATCTCTCTTCTCTCGTACCTAGGTTAGACTGAGTGTGATATATATACTAGGTTATAGTCATATGATCATATATATACTATATAAAATATATATCTCGTTATTTTATGAGCTGATTAGGTCTGGCAAAAAATTCAGGAATGATTTGTTCTTACCGTTGGTTCCGTTTTATGAGGGAGCGTCAGATCTAAGAATCAAGTTCATTTACTATTTGAATTTGTGATTACCGCATGATTCTTTCTGTTGTATTGTCTTGCATTACTTTTTCAAACCTTAATCAATCAACTTTTCTTGCCTCCGATCTGTGGTCACATGATAGAACATAGTCCAAACATACATTAAATTAATCATGTTATGATATGAAAACTATAACCTTAATAAATATGATCATTTGCCTCATTAGAAGCATTCATACATTCAGTAGACCAAGGCTAAGAGGAAGATTTGTTATAACATATTAACATGTAGTAAAAGTTTCAGGAAAAAAAAAACAAATGAGAAATATTTTTTTATGGAAAACCTTGAATATTGATATTACTTCCTAGATGTGGCCCATGGATGGTGAATGAAGGCTTCAGAAACTTAGTCTCAAGTGGTTTATACAAGGTATATCATTCATGTTTGTCATAACTTGTAATTCCTTATTATAGCTATGAGCTATTAGGGAGTGTATTCTTCTACAGCATATTGAATCTATTTGGCAATTAAAATTTTTCTGCACACAATCTTGTGCTTTCCCATGCTTTATATTCACGGAAATTCGTCTGTTTGTTTTGATAATTAATGACGTTATAACTCATCCTAATTTTGTTTGTTCAACTTTAAGATATCCGGTGCTAAGGTCACAATCTATGATGCAAAACATGGAGGAGCAGAAGGAACAGTGATTATTTCTGGAACTCCTGACGAGACTCGTACGGCCCAGAGCCTTCTTCATGGTTTCGTACTTCACGAGCAATCATCAACGTGAAGCCTCGGATCACTGTGACGTTTTAGTATCCCTGGAACCCTTTCTATCCAAAGGGTACTGCCAAAACTTTTTTCTGTTAATAACCTTTGACATATGACAGTGAAGTTACAAGGAACTGCCACCTCAGGAAGTTAGCAACTTAGCATGCATTCATATTTCAAAACCTGTAGATAATACAATTATCTAAATAGTATAGACATGTTCTTAATGAACAAGAAGGAAAGTTGTTTTCCTTTTCTTTTTGCCTTGGCCCTTGGGTGTTATTATCAGTCTTAATTTCATTATGGGTTTGATGGGTATAAGGTGGCGGTTTATTTAGCAAAATGAGCTACCAAGAGATAGATTGGTGAGACCCACACCTTTTGATGTGCCTAGTAGGGTGGGCCTCACTACATGACTATCTCATGGTAGCTCATTTTACTAAATGAGCCGCTATCTCATGCTCATTTTTTCTTCCATTATAGAGGATTATTGATAAATTAAAGAGGATTTATACTTTCAGGGCAGTACTCCGGCTTATGCACCTCGTGTGCATGTATCTGTGTATGATGAATATGTTTATGCATGCATGTGTGAAAAATTTGTGTGTGCCCCCGTGCGTGTTAAGTGTTTGCCTGTGCGAATATGAGTGGGTGTGAAAGTGTATGTGGATGCATGGGTGTGCACAAATGATTGTATGGACTATTTTTGCGCTGACGGTTAAGCTTTTTCTTTGAGAGCAAATTAGGAATGAGTGCAATTCATGGGGGGTATGGTGAGTGTTAGATTTAGAAGGAACCACAATCACCCACTAGTAAGGTAATCAATGGTTATGATCAAAAGTAGTGGTGTTACTACTACCGTTTTGTAGTGGAGAGGATCCAAATTTGTAGGCATTCTCATTGACTTCAACTTATAGAGCTTTACCTTTCTTTGGTGTTTAGCTCTATACGGAGACCTTTTTCTGTCCTAAACTACAATATATAAATCACATTTTTAGGTGTACACATGCACGCCCGCGCGCATGCCACTGTGATCAAATAATGAAGAAGGAGAAGGTAATAGCTACTCTAATCTAAAATTGCATACTACTGTGATCAAATAATGCAGAATGAGAAGGTAAAAGCTGCTCTTGAAGAAACCCTCCCCTTCAATTGGTCGTTTTTCACGAAAAGCAGACATGAGATAACAAATCAAGTCTTTCTAGCTGTCCCTAAAGTTATTTGTTGATGAAGGAAGCTGGTTCATCTGACACATTGAACCACTTGAAGGAGGTCAATGCTGTCATGTTTCAACAATTCTCTTTGCAACTGAGGCTGTGTTCTTGGTTCAGAGCCATTCACAGTTTACAACAGAATTGGGCTGCAAACGTCAGCTGACCTCAATCCAAAATCATGCACATTATGACAGATTGTTGCTGAGAGAAGTCAAAGAAGGATTACCTTGCATTAGGGTATGAAAAAAGGGGAGGTTACATCGATGATCTTGGTTCTTGGTTCTGTAAGAAAACGAGGCTAGAGTTTGTATTCCTCGATTTTATATGGCGTTCAATTCCTGTCGGATAATCTATTGGATGTATATGTAAATTACAAATTTAAACAGATGTTTATGTTGTGTTCAATTCCTGTCCGATAATCTACTGGATGTATATGTAAATTATAAATTTAAACAGAGATATTTATGTTTTGTTATATCGAGAGGCCCTCTTGATTTTTATTTATTTATTTATTTATTTTGTTACGGATTTGTAAATTTTCTGCAGTCATGATAAGCTGTATTATACATTCGGAGATTAAGCTCCATGTACTTCAGCGTTATCGTTTACAACTAATTAAAAGATTTTTGTTAGCTGCTGCTTACTGTCGCGCTCACAGGCGTATGAGACGCTCATTGACCGGAGAGAGCTGCATCAATTTGTTTCATTAAACAGTCAATAATGAGTGAAACAGCACGAATAGCTAATAAAAAGCTGCGCAAGAGATTCCCATCCAAAGATTGTGGGAGAGTCTTGCGCTTCTGCTCCCCTCGTACCCAATTTCATATTTTCTTTCCTTCTGAAGATTCAGGACTAAAAAAATAAAATCAGTTTTGAGAAGCGGAACAAAAATTTATGGACGATCATAAATTCAAGTGCACTGCAATGGTTCTTTGCAAAAAAAAAAATTGTAATTACAATGAAAAGCAATTGTAACCTCGATTACTTTTCAATAAGGGGCTGTTTGTTTGCCAAAAAAAGAAGAAAACTAGCCGCCATGTCACCTTTGAGGAAATCCCCCCATCCACATCAGCTTTTGGTTTCAACACATTTCCATTTCACATGTTTGTTTCATTTTTTTATTTAAGGAAATGAGGATGCCACCTAGGATGCCATGTCACATTTCAAGAAATGTGTTTTCACAACAAAAAGCTGTGAAAACACTTGGAAATATCACATCAATGAGTTTTTAATTAATAGAAGCACGGTAACTTCTGGGAGTTCGTCATCTCGATCAATCGATCCTCTTTGGTGGGAACGCCTTGACTTGGGCTTCGTCGGTCCATCTGAGATTCCCTCGAATATCGAGACCCTCTGTGGAGCGGTCCTGGGGCAGCTACAGGCTGATAATACTGCCCTGATAAGTTTGGTACACGGACAGTGAGAATCCGCTTCCCGAAATGCACTATTGGAGAGTATCATGATGAATAAATTTCTTTTTTAATGGGTCATTTCTCTTTTTCTTTTCTTATTGTCAAACAAACTAAAAAAATGGAAATCAAAAGCACTGTTACTATGGAGGCTTTTTTTTGTTTTTTGTGTGACTTGGCAGTGAAAATGGGAGGTTTCTTTGCGAAACAAACAAAATAAAAGACTCGCTGACGTTGCCGTCGGAGTAACCTATCGGCTGCTCACATGGGTTCTCAGGTATAACGCATTTGTTTGTCCGACGCGTCTTCTTCTGAGTAGACACTACCTTGTTGGCTTCTGCAAGAGTCGCACGTTTGGAATCACTCTTTTGTGAGGGTGAAACCTTAACGGGCTCTTGGTCCTTAAATAAAAGAAAACTGGGAAACCTCTTGATATGTGTTGAAATCATTTCCAAAGAGGGTTTTCCATTTCCCTTTTTTTCGTGGAAATAGCCAAACATGCCCTAAAAAGAGGGAAATCAAAGAAAAGGAAACCTATTTCTAAGAAAAATAGGTTTTGGGATTGTTTGGTTGGCCACCGCCGAGCTGTTTGTTGCAGAGATCGATTTGTTAGGAGATCGTGTACGACCCCCAGTCTGGATGTTGGCTCGAAGTTCCTTCAACGATCCCCAGCTCTCCTTGACAAGCGCTTTTCCTCGATTCTCGGGTAGAGCATCGATACGGTTGTTCAGAAGATTCTTGAACTTGGGAAAATCCACGCTGCGGTGGGGCTTTACCGAAGGTTCGGGACCTGAAATTGACGAAGGTTGGAGAGCAATATTACCTGCTATTACCTTAGGCGTTGATTTGGCCTTTGGTACCCAAACTCGTTCGAATCTCGGCGATTCCTTAATTGCCTCTCCCTTTAGCATTTCTCGTGCTTTTTGGAACAGGGCTCGGGCATGTGCACGCAAGGCGCGACGCTTCTGGATTCGCTCCTCGAGAGTAGAACGGGTTCTTTGAAAATAATATTTTATTAGATATGATGGATGAGTTGTTGGATAAAAATAATATTTTATTAGATGTTGTAGGTGAGTTTTAGGGATGAAAATGTGTGAAATTGTATTTTTTGAGAGTTCTTGGTTTTCATTTCTATTTTTTGGTTTTTTGAGAAATAACCAAAAAGGCCCTAACTGTAAATACAGTTAAAATTCCCAATTTTCGCATATCAAACTGCCATCATATTATTATTTTATCCAAAAATAATAATTATCTAAAAAAAAAAAACCCAGCAACAGACAGTTGGGTCCAATGGTAAAAAAAAAATTACAGTAAACCCTTTGTAGTATTAGTCAGCATTTTCCGACAGAAATATGGTTATAGTTAATAGTTGAAATCAGAGCCAAAATCCGAAGAGACTAAACTCGAGCGAAGCCAGCGGCCGGATCGTCCGCCGTCAAGATCTACTCGATGTGCAGCTGCTGTCGCCGGCCATGCCACATACTTCTCCCTCTCCTTCTCCCTCTCCTCCCTCTCCTCTTTCTCTACCCTTCCGCCGCCCCGCGGGTCAAGAGACCGGCTCCTCTCCCTCTCCGATTCCGCTACGACGGCACCTTTAAAATTCTGCAGGCCGGTGCAAACTCCTATGACCACCCCTGGAGTATTCTAAATTAAAAGCTTGAGGTTTTAATTTGTCTGTTCTATCTATGTAGGTGGCTGATATGCACTTCGGTAATGGGTTGATCACTCGGTGTAGAGATGTGGAACTGAGCGAGGCTGCCTGGTGCTCTGATCTCAATACTACGAGGTTCCTTAAGAGGATGATTCAGGCTGAGGACCCTGATCTCGTTGTCTTTACAGGTGGGTTCAAATTTTGATTTTTAGCAGAAATGTGTTTGACCCAGGTGGTGCTTTGTGGGATTTGGACCCAGAGAGGATCTTTTTTGGGTTTTTTGAGTGAACCCAGGTGAAAATTTTGAGGTGAAATTTTCAGATTCATTGGTCACGTTGCTTCCGGCCAGTGTAATCTTGATCAGAAGACAGTAGGGGGATTTGTTTTTTCTTTGCTCAGATGTTGAAGTTCACTGAAATGTATTGGTTTTTGTTATCAGGGGACAATATATTTGGGAGCAGCGCAACTGATGCAGCTGAGTCTCTTTTCCAAGCTTTTCGACCTGTCATGGAGTCCAGAACACCATGGGCTGCTATCCTGGGCAACCATGATCAAGAGTCGACGATGACTCGAGGGGAGCTGATGTCTTTCATCTCTCTCATGGATTACTCTATTTCACAAGTGAATCCGTCCACGGTAGAGCCAACGAAGATCGACGGGTTTGGGAATTATGATGTTACAGTGAAGGGAGCTTTTGGGTCGGAATTATCAAATACGAGCATTTTCAGTCTGTATTTTCTTGATAGCGGCGATCGCGAAATGGTTAATGGTTTTAAAACTTACGGGTATATCAAGGAGTCTCAGCTTGCTTGGCTTCGGAGAACTTCTCAAGAGCTTCAGGTGATCACATGTTCTCTTGATTCTTACCTGAATGAAATTGTTATATACATTCACTCAATGCGATCATGTTGGATTTTAGCATTCATCTTACAAACTTGAATGTGGGTCTTAATTCATGTTTCGGTGAACTCCCTAGCAATTGCCTAGAAATAAACCTATACTTTGTGACCAATTCTTTAGTGGGTTTAATTTTGGTTTGTGACCAATGCGTTTAGTTTCACTGTAACTCAAGGTAGTGAAGAGCCTAAATATGTGAGAAATCTTTGCCATGTGTTCCAAACTTACACAATATTAATGAAGTATAAATTAAGGTACGTGATTGTCGACCACGATTCCTCTTAACAGGAGAACTTGTGGAGCCTAATTCCGATATGCTAAATAGATCTATATTTACGGATATATGATCCATAGAGACTTTATATTCTGAAGACGTAAGTTCATCATTAGTTTATATCTCTTTATCTGGTCATGACATATATTATATATCAACTTCAAAAACTCCTTAACTTGAATCAGAAGTCTCTCTCAAACATACATATGACCAAGGCGAGAGACTGTATTTTTTTCTATGAGAAAAGAGAAATGAAAACAAGTCTAATATCAAACAGAAATTTTAAAGCCCATGATTATTTTGTCTTTCAGATTGATGTCTTTCTATATCGGACCTGTAAATTTTGCGACAAGATATCCTGAACATATTAAGGTATTGTAATTTCTCATTCTAGGAAAATCAAAAGGAGAAAATATGAACGAGTGCCCTAACCCTATCAACTACATTGGGTGAGAAATTGCCCAGCCTTAAACATTATAGATAGATCTGAGACGAGACTAATCATCATGACAAACCTATCACTTCTTTCCCATGTAATTTTGTTAACTGTATGAATTTCACAGTTCAGCAGAAAGTAGAACTGGATACAATTCATTCTTCAAACAGAATGTTAACTGCTCTTAATATTTTTTTAGTTCTGAAGCTTCAACTTTAGATCTCTAACTAGCTATCAACACTGATTATTGTCAAACAGGCAAATTTCCAAGCCCCAGCCTTAGCATTTTTCCACATCGCAATACCAGAAGTTCGAGATCTCTGGTTCAAAGAATTCATAGGCCATTATCAAGAAGGAGTAGCTTGTTCCTCTGTCAACTCCGGTGTTTTAAAATCCCTAGTCTCTATGGGAGATGTAAAGGCAGTTTTCCTCGGTCACGATCACCTTAACGATTTTTGTGGCGAAATTGATGGTATATGGTTTTGTTACGGTGGGGGATTTGGTTACCATGGCTATGGAAGAGCTCATTGGCCTCGGCGAGCAAGGGTCATTTCGGCTAGCCTAAGGAGAGGTAAGAGGAATTGGTTAGGGATTGAAGCTATTAGGACTTGGAAGAGATTAGATGATGGCAAGCTCTCTAAGATTGACGATCAAGTGCTTTGGAGAGATGATGAAGTAGAAGGACTAGACTGAAAATTGCATTGATGTGTTGTCGGTTGATCAAGTGCTTTGGAGAGATGATGAAGTAGAAGGACTAGACTGAAAATTGCATTGATGTGTTGTCGGTTGTTGTGATCTTATGTTCTTGGATTCAGGTAGAAGGACTAGACTGAAAATTGCATTGATGTGTTGTCGGTTGTTGTGATCTTATGTTCTTGGATTCAGAGTTTTGAGTTGTTGTATGTATATATTGTATTGAGAGTTATTGGCTAAATGCCCTGATGCGTTGTCAATTGTTGTAGAAATTATGTTCTTGGATTCGAGATTATTGAGTTCTTGTATATCTTTGGCAATTGTAGGGTCATCTTTTATTTAATTGTATACGTGGTGTTGTGATTTTACTTGTGGTGGGATTAATTTGATAGAATTCTTACCAAACTGTTAAGTTAAGACGGTCTCTCAATTTTCTTGTGCTTTATTGGACCGCAATTTGAATGATTTTAGCGACCCATTTCAAAATATTAAATATTTAAGGATTAATATGAAAAATCCCAGAAAACTAGCAGAAAAACAGAAAAGGGAAAAATAAAAACAAGAGATAGAAAAGTCCTCCCTTAAAGAATGTTTCAGTCATCTTCAGTAAAAATCCAACTGTACAGTAATTAATTTACTGTCAAGGTTAAAAATACCGTTCGCATAATCCCGTCGCTCTCAATACGACTCCATCTCCACCGTCCATTTCCCCAGCTCCATTCCCTTAAGCAAACCCAACGGCGAATTCAACACCCGCATAAAACACCCCCCGACATCCTCCTAACATCGATCCGAATCCAACGGCTGACATTAATCCTCAACACACCTTCCCCCCACATTCTATCGTGTCTCAGATCCATCTCCTCTCTCTCCCCTCGAAATTTTTTCTAGGGTTTCGATTCAACAAGCAATCGAACGGAATGAAGCTTGGAACCTCAATTCGATCATGAACCCCAAGCCATCCGGTTTGAATCATCGCTACTCCATGCCGATCCAAGGTCAGATCGGCGACGCACACGTCGGCGGCACCGCCGCCAGCGCCGGCGACGAGTCGCATATGATGGACGGTGAGCACGCGATACAGCGGTACGAAGAAGGAGAAGGCGGCGGAGTTGAAGGAATGGATGGAGATCACGAGCATGAGCAGGATCATGACGGCGATTTGCCGTCGGAGCCCATCGCTGCGATTGGGCCTCAGATTGGGAGCAATCAGCTGACGCTTTCGTTTCAGGGCGAGGTTTACGTGTTTGATTCGGTTTCACCAGAAAAGGTATGGTGTTCTTTTTTTTTTTACGGATTTGATTCATTAATTCTTGCTGAAATATTAGTGCTCGTCTTTCCGTTGGTTAGTAGGGTTTCTGTTAATTGGGGAAAGAGAAAATTTTTCTTAAACATTAATCGTAAAAAGTCAAAATTTGCTCATGTTAACTATTAACTCTTGCTAAAAGGTTGGATTGGATTGAGATTTTTAAGTTTGTTAGTTTATAGTTGAATTCACATTAATCAAAGAAACATCCGATTTTGGTCATTAATGCTCTTTATAATTGGCTCTAGTGTGAAGAAGGTCAAGTTTTGCTCTGTCTGGATTGAACTTTGTCGTTGTTAGTTGTTTATCGTTTCGCGATGGGTTAGCCAAGGGTTACAGAAGGCTAATATCTCCTTATAACTCTCAGAAGCAAAATAGTGCCGAAGAAGAAATTATAGGCTTAACGATTCTTAATTTGTCAAACATAAAAACATTGACAAAATAGTTATTTACCTTCTAGACTTGTTAAGAGTTTACTAATCTGCCTCTTTAGATGGGTTGCAAAATAATCCTTACTCTGGAAAGAAAGTATGGATATATATTTCTGTTCCTAAACATCAAGGAGAGCAAATGAGTGATTTAATCCCTGCTTAACGCGTTAACTATAGTGGGAATGGATTAACAAACTCAGCCCTTTTTATAAGATATCTTCCTCGGAAATTATTCCGGAGTCATAATTTATGACTATAAATCTGAAGACGACCAATTTTTAAACTTGTTGACAGGTCCAAGCCGTACTTTTGTTGTTGGGAGGTAGGGAGATAACAAGTACGGTTCCTTCAGTTCCGTCAACCTCACAACAGTATAATAAGGTACTGGTATTTAGGGGTAGGTTTGCATGTCTTTGTTTGGTTTGGTTATGTATGTTTTGCAATGAAGGTAGTTTGTGTTTGCTTTGAGAAGTGATTTCGTTTCATTGCTGGCAGAAGTCAAATTTTCCTCATAGAGTTGCATCATTGATGAGGTTCCGAGAGAAGAGGAAAGAGAGGAATTTTGATAAAAAGATCCGGTATACTGTTCGCAAGGAGGTTGCACTGAGGTAAATGTTACATTACTTCGATTAAGTTCTTCTTTACTATGGATTATGTTTTCTTTTAGGGGAAAAAATTTGATGTTAATTTAAGAATTCATGTTATGGGATTCCGTGACAAGGAGTAGTAGTTGAAGCTGTACTTTGTTATCAATTCCTGTCGCACTGAGACCAATTTCAAACCTTTGTCTTCTGTCTTCGCTCTGAAAGTTCGAGACTCTGTTAAACTTTGTTAAGTAAACTCAAATGATATTCACACTGAGGATAGCCTGCATCGATCATTTTTGTTGCTCTTCCTGGCAGTGTCTAAAGTTAAACTGGACATAATCTGCCGATTTTCCCTTACTTTCTAAAGGCTGAGAAATGGTCTAAATCTGGTGCTATTACTTCAAGCAAACTATAGTTTTGTGTACTCTTTGGTACGATGTTCATTTCTGTAATTAAAGTGTGGCATGTTCCAGTTAGAAACTGCTGAACTTTCCTTATTGGGTGTTGGTTAATTTCTGAACTTGTAGCACAATTTTAATTATCACTCATTTTCATGTTATGACACTGAATTTTTTTTTCTCTTCACTTATTCTAGGATGCAGCGTAACAAGGGTCAGTTTACGTCATCCAAGTCAAAGCCTGAAGATGCAACACAAAGTGTTACAACATGGGATGGTACTCAAAGATGGGGTACAGTAGATGGTCGACCACAAGCAGCATCTGAGTAAGCTTTAAGTGATGATTCAATTTTGGCAGTGTAAAGTTTAAACTCTTTCTGATAAAACTAACATTTTAGGACTATGATCTTATTACATCCATTTCTGCTTTTGTGAAGATTACATATTCAACTTTGTCAATACTTATGTCAAGCTCATGTATCAGTTATTTCTATGTTATAATCTATAATAGTGTCAGCTTTGTTAGCTGATCTCAATTTGAATGCGTTCAGATGCCATCATTGTGGCATTAATTCAAAATCTACACCGATGATGCGTCGTGGGCCAGATGGACCAAGGACATTGTGCAATGCATGTGGACTTATGTGGGCAAACAAGGTAAGAGTTATATTACAGCGTCATAAAAAATGTGGATAAAATGATCATTCCCCCAAGTATTGGTGAATTCTGAAGTTACCCCCTAAAGTATCAATTTGCTTATTTTGCCCCTTAAACTATGTGTATGTGCCCAATGTGATCATTTTGTGAGCATAAAAGTCAAATATTAACAAAATAATGATGTGATAGTGTTTTTTGGGCAAATTTTGTATTTTTTTGCGATCCAAAAAATGAGTTTTTAATTCATAAAAAGCTTTCGAGGATAAGAAGTCTTGGGAGAAAGTAGTTTAAAAATATTTTTTTAGTTTGGAAAAAAAGGAGATGAACTGATAAAAACCCATGAAGGAAAAAAAAAATGTTACGTCATTAATCTGTTAAATTTTTGACTATAGACTTTCAAAATGATCACATTGAAACTATAACATAATTTGAGGGTCAAAATAGGTAAATTGGTACTCTAGGGGGCAGCTGGAGAGTTCACCAATACTTTAAGGGGGAAATGATCATTTTACCCTAAAAAAATTCTATTGTTTGAAAATTACATCTATTTGTTCTCATATTGATTTGAACTCTGCAAGGTTGAAATTAAGTAAATAGTTTTCACCTTAGATTTTTTGTTAGTACTTGGTCATAGTTGTTAGATTTTGAACAATTGAGCTTTCTTTTCACACGCATGATACATTTCTAGATTGTTTTGCTGATCTGGAAATTGCGGCTCTCAATCCTTCAGTAAGGGATTTTACAGACCCTGAAAATTTTTAAGTTTTTATTTATGAATTAAATTTTAAGAGAATTACAACCGCAGCTTATAGGGTATCTAGAATAGCTCTGGGTTTCTTTTCCTCTCCCAATAAATTAGCATATTTATTTTCTTTTTTTATGCCTATTTGGTAAAATAGACGACGCGAGCAGTGATGATTGGAGGAAAGCATGACAACGAGACCCAATATTTTATGATGTATGACAGTTAAAAACAACTTTTAAATAGCAGGGATGGTATTGGTGGAGAAGAATTAACGCACTATGCAACATCGTCATTTTGATGAATTAGGGAAAATCTTTTTATGAAAAATTAGAGTTTGAGAGACGAAAATTTATAATAAATAATTTTCTACTGTTTGAGGCTCAGGAAACATTACTGCAGTAATATTTATGCAAAAATGAGACTAAGATCAAAGGCATTCTCTGTATTATTCCTCTACCTGGAGCTTGGACCACTAGGTAAACAGGAACAAAACGGTAAAAGGATCACTTCAAGGTATAAAACAATTTAAGGATTCTATCACACGCATATGCTAATCTGAAACTCGGTATGATAAGTTGAGAACTTCAATTTCCTGCAAGTTTAAAACTGTAGGCTTCGTTATACAACAAATATTTTTTGGTGATAGTTCAAGGTCCAGTTTTGATGGTAAAATATTTGTTATTGAAGTCCTTTAAAAGTGAAAACTATTTATATAGTTATCTTAATTACCAGTTTAATCTTCTCGAAGTCCATATCCTAATACTGGGCACTCTTTATATCTATTTCAACAATGACTTTAATCTTCTCTTTATTCATAACTTAATCTATTTCTTTCTCTCATGAGCCTGTTATAATCATTCATTTAAACTGTTAGACGTTTTTTCCATTCAAATTCTGTCCTAACTGTCATGGAAGAGTTCACTTTTTTGGTTTGGCATGTTACTCAGTTTGTGAAGGAGAGATTTTGAGATAAAATAATCAGTTTTTATTGTTGCAAACACGAAAAAGGTTGGAAACTGACACAGGACACAAATGTATTAAGTTGTGGACATGGGTACAAGCCTAATCCTTTAAAATGCAGGTCAGGAGCATGTCACAGACACTGACATAAACATGTATATACAAACAGACCAAAAGATCTAAAGGAAACATGGTTAGGTCTTGCTTTATCAAAACTAGGAAGAAACAAGTTAATTCTTTGAGAACATCTATAGATTCTGATAGTGAACCGGTTAAAGCTATATGTGGTCTAATGTGATACCACTGAGTATAAGTCCTTGACACCTCACAACAGCTTAGAAGGTTATTTAACTGTGCTAAAACATCGTTCAACTTATATTAAAAAGATTTCATTATGTTTAGTTAACTTTGACATGGCTCCAGCCTGTACCTGCTCCGACAAGCGCTCTTTAGGGTGAGTTTGGCAACCACACCAAAAAGAAAAAAGGAAAAAAAAACCTAAACTTTTCTTTGCTAGCTAGTTATGAACATTTATCTTTCATGATTAGTTTGTGTACCTTCTGTTTTGATTTATGAAGTTCTTTCAAACCATACTACTCGATGGACATCATTTCAATCGTATACTTTATACTGCTTTTTTACTTTTCCATTTATTGTCATTAGTTCCTTCCAACCTTAATTGGGTATCTAGAAATCAACTAACACTACTGTATTTCTACTAAAGCATCTTAATCAATCATTGATTGCACAATGCTTTGTTCCTTTCTCTAATTTTAGCCTTTTTTCTGAATTTGCACTTAAAAGAGTTATCTGCCTTCAGGATATTCATCAAAATTAGATGAAGCCACACACTAATTTTGTATATTCATTTATTTCTTCTTTAACTTGCATCTGTTTTGAAGATCAACATCACCAGAAAATACGACAACAATATTCTCATTTTCTCTTTCTATCATAGTCTAATAGTGGCACCTGTTTTCGACTTTATTTATGGCGCAGTATATCTTGTACTTCCCCTTACCAAAGGAGATATTTACACTGTGAGGAAATTATACATGTGATACTCCTATTGCCGATTTGTTCATCCATTCTATGCTTTCTGTTACTCACAGGGTTTGCTGAAAGATCTGTCAAAAAATCCATCCCAGTCCACTCATAATCCCCTGCCAGTCCCAAAGGAAGGAGTAAGCTTTCCATGTTCATAAAAAGAATTAGTCTTCTTTGGGTTATTCCCCTTAAACTTTTCATATGCAGATCTTTTTCTTTTCTTTTCTTTTCTTGCAGAATGGAACTGCTGTAAATGGAACATCTGTAGCCGTCAGTGAGCAACAGCCCCTTGCAATCACTTCTAATGGTCATGCTTCGTCGTCGTGAGCATAATCACGGGTTTCACATTTAAAATATTTGATGAGGGGGTAATTCACCCTGTATTTCTCAAGACAGTTTATTATACATACATGTATTACATAGGTATATTATCTGAGCATGAAATATAAATTTCCTTTTTCTTCTTTTAGAGTGTCCAAGCCAGACTGGTATTTTCACCCATTGAGATTGAAATATCTGTATGCACGGACAGCCAGTGCAGATTCTGCAAATGCTTGAAAGGCTCGAATACCTTGGTTAGGAGATAAATATGAATATATATATAAATATGAATATATATATATATATATATATATATATATATGTATATATATATATATATATATATATATATAGAGAGAGAGAGAGAGAGAGAGAGAGAGAGAGAGAAGAGAAGAATATTTCACTATTCAGCAAGTATTTTGTTCTGAATAGACAAAGAGCGAAGGTTTACAAGCGCTTGTAATATTAGGTACAAGAGATACTGTTTGCAGAGAGTTCTGGATTTACAGGGGAGGTACGTATGTTCTCTCTTGATATAAGCTGGATCTTTTCGATACTGTGTTACTGCTGATTATAGTTCAGCTACAAGTTTTCACTGTGAGGGTTTATTTATTTATTAGTAAAAGGTCAAGCTTGTACAGATGATTTTCTTCCTTTTCTCCAAATCCAACGACCAAAACAATACAGTTTGATTTGGAGATTTGATATTTGGCTAAATCTCCACATGTTATCATGAAGTCTGACCTTTTACGCACAACGGTCATATTGAAAGTGAAACATAAAAATGAAAAAAAAACAAAAAACAAAAAACAAGAGGAGCAATGGATAGAGATGTTCAGCATTCTTAGTTGTAGATAGTCTTTACAACTCACCAATCACATTTCTTTACTTTATAAACCCAAACTCGTGAATGGTATTTTTTATTTACATTATATAAAAAGATATTTTAATTGTTGGACCTACTAAATCAACTAATGCTATTAATCCATTTTGCCAATTGTAGAGGCTTTCTAAGAATGTAGAGAATCCTCGCTCAGGAGTAAGTAGCAGAGGGAGTCCATCTCTATTGGCGAGGTTTTGCATCTTATTAACATTACTACTGCAAATGTTATCTTATAACATACTGGAATTCTATACTAATGTCAAATAATTATAATCAAGCTGTCATACCACGATATATTAGTATTTCAACTAATGGTGGGTAGAAAAACCTATTCAAGCTCTCCTCTGCTAAGAAATTATTCCATGAGCACACTATTTTGATCGTTAAATAAAATATTCTATAATTTACCCAAAAGCGAATCAGTAACCTTGGCCTTGATGTTGGACACTGAGAGGATAACTAGTACGAAGTCTCTTGATTGGAGCAATGGGTCTTTTTCCTGACAGAAAGAATCCAATGAGTGAGAGAGAGGGTCATGGGCTTTCCTCTAGGCAAAAGTTGTTACTGGGATCGTGTTGTGTTCCCTTGGAATTTAGGTACATCTCCCAAGCATCCTATAAGCATATTGTCCTCAACGTCTATTAATCTGCCTAATGTGTCTCAATCCTCGGGGTAGTCGTTTACGCGAAGAATACGTACCATCAGAATTCAAATTTACGGAATGCCAAACATATACCTAGGTAAATCTACACATATGAACTTGAATCTTTAACGCTTGATTGGCGTGTGTTGAAATACCTGAAAAGAGAAACATAAACACAAAAACTAGAGAATATATTAGCGATAAATTGTTTGACAAATCATCATCAAAACTATAGGGTCAACATACGTACCATCAGAATTCAAATTTACGGAATACCACTTCATCTCACTCGCGTGTTGATTTGATTTTGTATCCGAAAGAAGGGAAAATATGAAGAGTGGCCGGCTGCAATCCTCGTTAATATTTTAGTGAAATCGTGATCTCATTCTATTCCTGGGATATCCGAGGGCATAACTGATCACATTAATTATTCTACAGTGCTGCTAGCACCATTTTGTGCCGTGTCGCTTGCCTTTGTATTGTATGCATCTCTAGGGACCAGGGTAGGAAAAAAAACATTCCATCTCATTCCCCTTGGGTTCCTCTCCATT